AAAGAAAGAAAATTATATGTCATCACAGTAGAATTCCACTATTACCTCCCAATGTAAATAAATATATGATAAATTTGTTGGTTTTCCAATCGTCAATTTTGAATGATACGATTATTCTATCAGTTTCGTGATCACATTTAGATTTAGCTAATTTTTTTTGCAATTTGCACTTATTTTAGGACTGAGTTGAGAACCTTGAGGAACACCATAATTACATGTGTAAATATACGCCAATTGAATTTCATACACTATGTTTTCAATCGCTTAGTTAACTTTAGATTTACTTTTTTCAAATTGTCAATTTGTTATTTAGGACTGAGTTTAGAGCCTTGAGGAACATCCATAGTTACATGTATAAATATACGCAAATTGAATTTCATACACTATGTTTTTCAATCGCTTAGTTAACTTTAGATTTAGCTTTTTCTCAAATTGTAATTTGTAATTTAGGACTGAGTTTAGAACCTTGCGGAACATCACAGTTACATGTATAAATATACGCCAATTGAATTTCATACATACATGTTTTTTTATCGCTTAGTGAACTTTAGATTTACCTTTCTTTAAATTGTAATTTGTAATTACTTTAGGACTGAGTTGAGAACCTTGAGGAACATCATAGTTACGTGTGTAAATATACGCCAATTGATATTCATACATACATGTTTTTCAATCGCTTAGTTAACTTTAGATTTAGCTTTTCTCAAATTGTAATTTGTAATTTAGTACTCAGTTTAGAACCTTGAGGAACATCAGAGTTACATGTGTGAATATACGCCAATTGATATTCATACATACATGTTTTTTAATCGCTTAATTAACTTTAGATTTAGCTTTATCAATTTTCAATTATTTTAGGACTAAGTTGAGAACCTTGAGGAATTCCATAGTAACACTGTGTTTTTCAAACGCTTAGTTAACGTTCTTCAAGAATTTTAGTTATTCAATTGAAGTGGACTTTAAATTATCCGTTAATTTAATTGCAGATTAAGTTTTTTTTTATATGCTCATGTTTCAGGAGAATTCCAAGGTTATTTGTAGAATTAATATAAAAAGAAAATTATAAATAAATTGAATGATTACGAACGTTGATATCATCTCGTGTGACGCGTATTTCTCTATCTGTGCTTGTTGATATTTGGAGAGAGAAAAAATAATAATAATTCGAAGCGAATTTTTGGTGTAGATTTTGTAGAAAACTTATGTTTTATCATTAGATAATTACGATTTTATGAATACAAAGCGTTGAAGAGGGCTCAGTGTGGAACCCCGAGGAACATTTATGTTTTTTTTTTGTTTTTAACATTGCAAAAAGTTCTCAATTATTTCAGATTAATCTAATTTAAACAAAAAGCAAAGAACGCAGGGTATTTTTACCAAAACAAAAGATATAAATATGGTTTTTTCCATACTTTCTTCATTCATACGTAAGAAATTGATTGGAAATTGCGTATATTTATATATGTAGAGCCTCGGGGAACTCCAATGATTATTTCAGTTTGAAAAATGTAATTTGCAAGAATTAATGTGGAAATGAACGACAAAAAAGAGATAAAATTAACTATGGAACAGATGAATACGTAAATGCAAACAATAAATGGACAGACAAAGAGAAAACAAATTAATAATATACGCTGAGCAGGCGAAGCGAAAACAAATAAAAATTTTGTCGAAGGATGCGAGCGTTCGTCGCTCGTTTGTTTCTTGATCGCGCTCCTCCATTACATAATTGGTCGGCAATTTGCCGGCGGTCGTATGTGTGTGTGTGTATGTGTTAATTGCACAACACTTTTTTTTTTGTCGCATTGAATTACTTTTTTATTTTTCCCAACTCTCGTTGTTGCATTCGGAAGTTTTCGACCTCATACGTGCGTTCCTTTAATTCAAGCTGTAGAATGATGTTTGAATAACAATTTCGTACAAAGATTTAACAGTCTGTTATTCGTAATGTTAAGTAGCTTTTGTTGGTGTAAACTGAAGTGTAAAAAACTAGATGATTTTTTTTTTGTTAAAATTAACAGGAGATTTGATAGGAATGCGTTTGCGTAGCAGATTTAATTTGTAACAATGCGCGCAACGAAAATAGAATTTAATCACGAGATATAATTACTTAACGTCGCATTAAAACATTTAATTATATATAAAAGCAAAAGGAATTTATTCGTTATCAATGTGTATTTCTCCATTTGAATTCATGAAATAAGCTTTGGTGTTCCTCGAGGCTCCTCCATACGAAATTTTCAATCAATTTCTTATGAATGAATGAAGAAAGTGTGAAAAAAAAACCATATTTATATCTTTTGTTTTGATGAAACTAAGTGGGTGTTCCTCGGGTCTCCGCACTGCGTCTTATACATAGTTTGAATTAGATTATACTGAAATAATTGAGGAGAAGTAACTTTTTTGTAATTTAGTTTCAGTTAAGTTCCCACTTTTGTATTCTTAATGTAATTTAAATGATAAGTTTTCATTTATAATATTGATAATAATAACAATTGTTATTTAATTTTTTTTTGTTATTAGGTGTAATTAAAATGAATAATAAATGTATTGTTCCTCGGGGCTTCGCACTGAGTCTTATCTAATTTGATAATGATGAAATACAAGTAAATCTTTGAATTAATTTCGCACTTTTCTCGTTCCACTTTGACAACGTGTTGACTGACATTGATATCGTTTGTTTTTTTTTGTTTTGTTTTCGTCAATGGCGTTTTGATTTTTGTGTAACTGTGGGGTGATGTGTTAAATGGGTTGCGTTTAATTCGCCGAAGGATGCGTGTGCTGTAATTCAATTCGTGCACAAATGCGCCCGAATCAGGAAGCGTTAATGGAGCTGTTCCGATATAAAAATTGATTAGTCCTTGCTGCATCGTCATCCTCTCTGCTTATTCTAATAGGTTCTATATTTTTTTTATCAATTTGAAAGGGGAGAAGCCGAAATTGGTGTTGATGATTTAAGTGGGTTTGCAATTTCGACTCGTGTGTTTGTACAAGCATCCACTGATCTCTCTTCTCCCTTCCATTAAAACAGAGAGAGAGAGTGAGATAATCTCTTTCGTCGCTTGATGAGCAGCACACGACAAGGACGATCAACGGTCATCAACATTCAACACTTGACTGCAA